TCCTGGGGAGCTGTGGGATAATAGTGGAGGACCATCAACACTCAAGAGATTTAGCCTGTGTCCTGGATTGTAGCCAGAGCAGAAGCAAAGCAGGAGTTCTCATCCTGCCCTCTCCCACTCAGTCAGGCCAGTTAGACTGGATTCACAGTACCACCCAAGTCAGAGAGTTTCTGCATAGACTGGAGGGGAGGCTGGCCTACAATCCAGGTAACAGCCCAGACTGATGCTAAAGTGAAGACGTATTCTAAGACTACAGGGAAATTACAGACAAATACAAGGTAATTACCAGAGTTTGCATTTGGCTAGGTTACTGGAAGTAACATCTTACTCTTGCAAACAGTGCCACAGGAAGGTTAATGAGCAGAGGTAGTCAGTGCCTGTTTCATGAAAGATGGCACCCACTAGCACCACACTGGGTCACCTATCCCTTACTGTTTCATAAACAGCAGTTCCAAAATTCATGTGGGTTTTTTCCAGCTAGCTCTTACGAGCGCTAGCAAAACATATCCCTGCCTAGTTCATGAACCCAGCCCAAAGCTGCAGGCTTTGCTGAACAGGCTATCACTTGAATGGCTTGACTTGTTTCCCCAGAGCCTTTTTCTTGCAGCAGAATCAACTTGTGCTCCAGAAACTGTTGGTTTGGGTCATCAGTCTTCGGTAATGCATCATTCACCTCTGTGTGGAGCAGAAGCACCCATCAAACATATCCCTGCCTAGTTCATGAACCCAGCCCAAAGCTGCAGGCTTTGCTGAACAGGCTATCACTTGAATGGCTTGACTTGTTTCCCCAGAGCCTTTTTCTTGCAGCAGAATCAACTTGTGCTCCAGAAACTGTTGGTTTGGGTCATCAGTCTTCGGTAATGCATCATTCACCTCTGTGTGGAGCAGAAGCACCCATGCCTCATGGTGAATGCAATGCATCCACCACAGCCACAGCCAAAGCAGGGCAGAAGTAATCCAGCCACCCATCCAAGGAAATGTCTTAAATGAGCTCCCAGACTATTCAACTCAGCCCAGCATCCCTAGCCTCCCTGGTGAACATATCTAACTAATACTACCACCTCCCCTCCAGATACACAGTGAAAGGCTTAACACCCCGCCTGCCCCCGCTCCTCTGAGGAAACAGGGCTTTAGCGAGTAATTGCAACATGGGAAGTTCAGCGCAAAACCTGTGTAACCAAACTGCAGGAAACGAAAGTGCTGTTCGGTCTCCTGCGATTGTTTCGTCTCCAAATTTCTCTCCTCAACCACAGCCCCTTTCAAGCTGACCATTCTGAGAAGCTCTGCACTGCACGAAGGGGTCAGAAACTCAGGGCACGCCCGCTCAGCTAGACAGAGCCTCCAGAGCCACATCAGAATTTGCATTTGGGACACTCCAGGAGTAGTCAGGCCTGGACTCTGAGTTCCAGCCTAGCCCCACCATTTGCCACAGGTGAGCAGGTTGCCCCTCCCTTTGTACAAAGCCCTAATATAACCCAAGGCCCTGAATGTTTCTGTCTGCTATGCCAGTTCCTCAGCCTCCCCCTCTCTCTACATCAGGTGCCTGAGTTTGCATGTACACAGAGAATGGGCTAAGCCAGGAGATGGGCTTTGAACCAGGCAGGTGGCTAGGGATAATCAGGAAGGCAACAAACAGGGTTGCCCGAGCCTCTGCCTTGTTAAGGTTTCTCACTGCAGTTTGGGTGGGGGGAAGGAGCTCTTCTTTGGGAGATGGAAAATTTCCATCAAGGACATTTTCATGCAGAAACAATGAGTCACTCCCTTTCCCACGCATCCTGAGAGATGGCACCAGCCTGGAGAGCAGAGCACTCTGAGGCAGCTGCCTTTCATTTGACTGAACAGTGGAGGGGACAGAAAGCCGCTTTGGGAGCAGGGGCATGACCAGCTAGTCTCCTGCCATCAGGCCATGGCCTGAACTTCAGGACTTTGTCTTCTGAACAGCAACACTCTGTTTCCAGCATCTGCGGAGAGTTCTTTGGGGTAAACTGCATGCTGGTGCCTGGTGCCAGTTTGACAGCCCACAGACCAACAGCTCTACTTATCCACCAATCAGACACAGTCCTGCGGCACAGGCAGGAGCTTCCCCCACACCAGTCCCTCACAGTGGGCCTCAACTATGACCTGGAGGGCCATTCCCTAGGCTGAAGAATAGCTCAGATTCCATAGCTCATCTTCTGTCACTGCCAACAAGGGGCCAAATCTGAAGATTTTTTCTGTGGTAGCTGCCAGCAGCTGGGCCAAGACCCTCACCTCATTTCCCAGAGCACGCAGATCCACTTCTCAGTGAAACTATCCCAATCCCTTCCCCTATAGATTCCACCCCATGAGACTTTTCTCTCCTTAACCAGTTCATCCTCACCACCCTCCTTAGGAGACTTTATGTCCCTTTCCCCTGATCCTACTAAAACCCTCCCTCTGCTCTTCACTAGTTGAGTGGCACCCCATTCCCACTCCTGTCTCCCACAAAAGAGCCAGCTCCTACCCCACTTTACTGAGATTTTTCCTCTCCCTTCCAAACACTTCCCCAGCCCACTCCCAGAAAGCAGTAGAGTTGTTCACAAGCTCAGGAACACTGAGTATATTCAGTCAGATCTCACTACCAGCCTTGCTGCTGGCTTCCTGCATGCAGCAATATATCATGGTTGTCCCAAGGCAATGTCACAGTACCTTCTCTTATTGGTGGACCTAGGGCAGGTGAAGGCAGAGCCCGAAAGCTGTTCTGCATACAGACCATATGGGCAGACCTGAGGGTTATTCTAAACCAAAAGAGAAGATGATGGATGGGTTAAAGATGACTGCACAAGTATAGCATTCGTTTCATCATCACAGAGAAAATTAAATGATGTATCTGTATTCCCAGTTCCTCTTGAGGTGTGACACCTGAGCCTCTTGCTCAGAATGGTATGGATCTTATTATCGCAGGGATGTTAAGCTGAAGTTATCTGACTACTTGTATAGTCGATACAATTTGTATCAACTACATGATTAGTCGATGAGGGCTGCTCTGCAGAGCCACAGTGGGGGTAGCTCCAGGAGCCAACTCGAGCCAGGACTGAGGAGTTCCGGCTTGTGCTGGCTCCAGGAGCCACCAGAGCTACAGCTCTGCATTTTAAATGAGTCCAGCAGCTCCTGTTTGCAGCAGCCAGCACTGTCCGCTGGGACCCCTGAGGACAGGGGCTGCTGCCAGAGTATCATGTGCCCACAGCCAGGGGGAAGGGCACCAAGGAGTCAGTGCTGTGGGGGGAAGCATTGGCTCCTGTTTCCCTCCCCCTTGCTCCTCCCAAAGAGGCAGGATTCTAGAACTGGGACTTCCTGTCCTAAGCTTTACATCTACCCGGCTCTTGGTGACAAAGTCGCACTGTTTACACAGTGCTGGTAAAGGCCCTTGCCCCTTGGCCCTACAGGAGCGGCAGCAAATATTAAGTATATGTTTACCGCCCAGTGAATGTATATTCCCCTCCATCACGGCCATGGCTCCTGTAACCAAACCATTCTTCCCACACCTAGAGAAAGGGTCCATGCAGGGGACATTAAAAATGGGACAGGGCCTCTGAATGCTAATAGGGATAGCTTTCCCTGGGGGCCTTTGGGGATCTCTTTGCATTTGTGCAGGGTTTCAGTACAACCAGCTCAGTGATTCAACTGGATTGCCCTTGATTGCTGTGGAGTGAAATAATTCCTCTGAGATTATAGATAAGAGTTTTGTTCTTCACGTAAAAGGGTTACAGATTTCCATGCAGACTGACAGCTTTTGGTTGTGACATTAGTGTGAAACAAAGGTACCCAGATAAGTGGAACAGATAGATCAGGCCTACAGACCACCTGCAGCTAACTTGGTATCCTGTCACTCTGCTGTGCCAACACAGACCTGTGGTCCATGAAGTCTCACATTCTGCTCTGACAGCATCTACTGCCAGGAATGCGAGAGTAAAATACAAAGCCATCATGATGCACCTAGTTCTTCCTCCTTTAAACCTCACCTTATGAATATAGTGTGCTCTGAAGTGGGGATCAATAGCCTCTGTAGTTTTTATCTTAGTTAGCATCACCACAGATGCCTGCTTTATAAATACTGCAGAGGGGAAGACAGCCACCTTTGGGACTTGGTATTTTTTTACTTCTTGAATCTTGTATTAACTGTTTTGACACTCTGTATTGTTTGGAGCAAGCAAACTTTGCTCGAATGAGCATGCTGCATAGCCAACCAGGATTCTGAGTGCTGCATCTAATTTGCATAAATTGGTGCAGATTGAAGTTGCCCTCCTTTTGAATAGAGTGGCTCTTGGAGACTATATGTGCTGGCATGTAATGAGCATGCCAGGCATCAGGACACAGCACTGCATAGTGAGACCCACAGTTATGAAAGCTTCATTGTGGAAGTGGATGGGCCTTGATACTGACTTTCACGAATCCCTGACTGGTGTTGAACTGTCTAAAGTTTACATTCCAGGCACAAAACCGTGGCATTAGAATAAGTCCTCAAAAGACAGGCCATTCCAAAGCTGAGGTTCTCTACACAACCTTAACTCTGCTCCCATGGGTGTGCAGTTTATGCTCCTGGGCCTGATTCTCCTCAGCTTTGTACTTAATGCATTTACATGTTTTCATAGTGCAGAGCTGGGTGTAAAATGCTACCACCCTGTTGTGGGTGGGTTTTATACCTGCTCTGCCCAAGGGTAAGCAATTACACAGAATACGAAGTGGTAGAGAATCAGGGTTAGCGGATTTACTTTGGTGTAAATTAAACCAGATCTGGGCCCATAGTCTTTAATTCCCTGATGACTTGTTCTTATTTCTACAGGTTGAATAGGAAGAGTAAGTGAGGCTTGTGGGTCCATATTTAAAAAACAAGGATAACGTATTTTTTAAATGGATATATTTGGAAAAATTATTCTATTTTATTTGCTTTTAAAATTTTTTTAATGAACCTGTCGATTAGAAGTTAGCTAACTGTTCCCAACCCCTGTCCCTAGCATGGGGACACCACCCTGCTAAGGAGTCATTGCTTAGTAAAATCAAATTCAGTTTTGACTTGAACAATTTTCCTCTGTAGGGCTATTTCCCTTCTGGATTTCAAGCTCCTATCCCAATCTACAATAGAGCTAGAGTGGAGTGAAAAGACACATTAAATGTTAATTCCGCCATCTCTTCATTCTCAAACACTGTTGAACTATTTTTATTTAAACTTCCTCTGCCAAAAAAAATGACTCTAGGACAGAGACCAGGCATGGACATTTCAGCTCCAAAGGTGAAAACTTTGTTATGAATGACTGACAACGGGAAGTTTGACCGGAAACTCTTAACTTGTAACTCTTACTAATGCATCAGTTCTATGCTACAAAGAAGCATTAAAAGCATGAGAATGCTTTAGCATTTCTGTAGTGGCAGGCTTGAGATTCATGGTAGCATCTAGAGACTCAAAATAGCAGAGGAACAGGTGCTCATGCTACTCTTTGCTATTAAAAAAAATAAATCAGTACCTGTCCTTCAGGTAAAGCTCCAGGGCAGCGTGGATCTTCAGAGGCACATTCATTCCCAAATCCTGGCATGTACTATGAAATAACAAAACAAACATACACTCATGCAGCAGTGTCTAAAAATAAACAGATGTGCTTTTTCCACATTCTTTGGGTACAATTTGAGTTTGCCAAGTGATCTATTTTGGTTTGGTTATTTCAGAGGACTGTCTGTGCAATATGTGAACGGGGGTTTATCTAGCCTCACTAACCAACCATGACATAGGCAGGATTCCTTTTCTGTCTAATCTGTACATGATTCATTCAGCCAACACGGTAGCTTGAGGGCACTTTTTACGTATGCAAGTTAAAAATATGCATGCATTCAACAATAATACTCTTGAGTAGCTCCTTCCACACAAAGAAACCAAAGCTCTTCACTAACATTATGAAAGAGTATTAGCTTCACTAGAGTTAAAATTGAAACAAGAAAACTCTTTCAAAGGTGTTTTTTCGGAGTGCTCTAACATCCACTTGCATGCCCATACTATCTTATAAACTGGTGAGGCTTATTGGAGTTCGGGACATGGTTAATACTGCAAATCACTTGGGTAATGGGGGGGTTTGACATACAGGGCCCCCATAAAAGAGCCTGTCAGTAATTTTGGGTGTGTGCATGCACATGTGTACACACGCCTAGTGCTCCAACGATGATATGCACCGGTAATGCCTGGCTGAGCTAGAACTCAGTGAGTGTTCAGCACCCGCTGCCATGTTAGACTAGCAATATTTTCAAAAGTTTTACCTAGTATTTTAAGCCAATGTGCAAAGAGGGGATTCACACTAGAGAAGATGATCTGCACGTCCTCCTAGGCCTACTCTGCCTGCAGCGGCTCCAGAGCCGGGGGCAGAGTTCCTAGTCCAGGCTTCTCCTCAGGCCTACAGCTCCTGCCTGTTGCGAGAGCAGCATGGAAGAGAGCTAGGCTCCTCAGAGTCCCTGAACTACCACATGTCCTCCTACCCTAGCCCCTCCCCCAACCTAACAGTGGGAATGGAGGGTCTGGGAGCAGGGATCAGGGGAGGTATGGAGAGGGCAGAGCAGCCATGCAGGGCTCTCAGGAGTACACTTCCCAGTCCTCTGATCACCCTGCATGCATCTACACTGCAGGGCTTAACTCGAAATAAGCTATGCAAACAGCTACGTCAATTGCATGTCTTATTTCGAAATATGGAGCATCTACACAGCACTTATTTCGAAATGGAGCATTCTTTCTCTGACTTTCCTTATTCCTCGTGCAATGAGGGTCACAGGAGTCAGAGTAAGATGTCCTCCATCCTCTGATCACCCTGCATGCATCTACACTGCAGGGCTTAACTCGAAATAAGCTATGCAAACAGCTACGTCAATTGCATGTCTTATTTCGAAATATGGAGCATCTACACAGCACTTATTTCGAAATGGAGCATTCTTTCTCTGACTTTCCTTATTCCTCGTGCAATGAGGGTCACAGGAGTCAGAGTAAGATGTCCTCCAGCTTGACAGTATTTTGACATTATTTCGAAAAAATTGTGTTGCAGTGTACACATGATATTTCAGAATAGCGCTAATTATTTCAAAATTGTGTTGCAGTGTACACGTACCCCAACATGTACCTTAACTCAGAATTTCCTAATTTTCAGAAGTTTAGCTTCAGCCATTCTTCGTCTTCGGGAAGGACATAAGCCAATACCAACCAACCTTAACTCTGCATTAACTATGTTTTTTGGCAGTGACCTACACACACAAAGAGCAAGCTACATATTAATTGCTTGATTTGCAGGTTGCAGGATGGAAACACAGAGAGGCTAGGTGACTTGTCTAATTCACACAGCAAGTCCATAGCAGAGCAAAGGTTAGAACGCACTAGTTTGCCCTTCTCACCACACTTTAGGTCTTTTTCACTTTCAGTCACTGAAGTAGCTATGCTGATATAGCTGTGCCAATGCAACCTCCCTGCCCCCTGAGTGCTAAATGAGGCTAAACCAAGATTTACACCAATTAGGGATGTAAAATCCCATTTAACTGGTTTATGTTTAACTGGTTAACCAATTAAAAGGGAGGCGGGTAGGGGAACTACTCCAGCCTCCACCACTCCTCCCCCCGGCCTCCTGAGGTCAGGCCGGAACAGTCCCAGTCTGTGGGGCACCTGTGCTCTGGATGCCAGTGCACACTCTGCTTGCAGGATGGGTTTAAATGTCAAGCTGCAATTTTATTAATTATGCCATGAGGTGGGGGCACAACTTTGCCCACCCAGCTTTCATGTAGTGGGCATTCAATTGGCTCCAGGGCTTTGGCCACAAACCAAACAATGCAGGGTAGCTGCTCTTCCTTACCTTACAGACTCAGTTCAGTTGTAAAACCTCAACTCCGTCCCTCTCTCCCCCACATAAGAGATGGTGGATTGATAGTGGCCATAAGGCTGGCTGGGTGGGAAGATCAATCTGCAAAGACTTCAGCCTCTTCCTCCCCTCCCCCCAGCACCTGGTCCATCCACACAATCCTGGGTCATAGAGTTTGCCAGATGGTTTCAACAAAAATACCGGACACACTTGACATTACATCATAATCTACATTACAGCTTATTTAGAAAATACTGGACATTTATATTTTCTCAATTTGTTTCCCGAACAGAAAGCTCAAATACTGGACTATCCAGTTCAAAACTGGATACCTGGCAACCCTAGTCTCATTTACCTCCGGGAGCTGGCCCTTTAGTTTTTACTGGCACTGGACACCAGCCACTGGGGACATAAGCAATTAGAAGAAGCAGCTCCTACTCTGCTACACATGTGTTTTGGACTCCATTCATTCTCTGCTGTCCAGTCACATTCTTTCCCCTCACAAACACGCACTAAAGGCGTTAAGAAATATTTGCAATAATAGAGATAGATCAGAGCAGCTAAAACAGTGGCTGAACATTCACTTAGACTTCTTGATAATTGGGTCAGGAAGTTGATGTTTAGGATCAGAAGAACTAAAAATGTCTCAAACAGTCCCCTCACCTGCATCCTCTGACACTTAAAGCATCTGAGTCGCAAAGAAGAGCTGTAAGTGCTCCTCAGAGGTGTATTTGTGACATTTCTAGGAGACCCAGTGGAAAACCATTCAAAAGACAGTAAACACTGTTCCAACATTGTGTAGTTAACAGATGATAATGCAAACCACAGAAAAATTCATAGGGAGTGGGTGTGGAAACAGTGAGTACCTAGCTTTGTATGGGCCTACTGGAGTATTCAACTAGTTGTCAAATAATCTCAAACTGGTGTCTATTCTTATTATATGAATACAGAACTTATGATATTCAATGATTTTTAAAAGCTGTTCATGATCTTGGGATGGTATGTTAAACCTCATGAAATGCTGCCATGAATCAAAATTGCCACCTTCCATTATTGTCAGGAATCAGGAAGGGACCTGCTGGGGGGGAGCTCTCGGTTGGATACTAGGAAAAACTATTTCCCTAGGAGGGCAGTGAAACACTGGAATGGGTTACCTAGGGAGGTGGTGGAATCTCCATCCCTAGAGGTTTTTAAGTCCTCGCTTGACAAAGCCCTGGCTGGGATGATTTAGTTGGGGTTGGTTCTGCTTTTGGCAGGGGGCTGGACTCGAAGACCTCCTGAGGTCTCTTCCAGCCCTGGGATTCTATGATCTGGTGGGAAACAAATAAATATGAAGGGACAGTGGGCATCTATGTAGGATGGTAGAGGGAGTACTCTGCCAGAGTTACTGCAGCTCAGGGGACCAGAACATGGCAGAGGGAAAGAACCATGAAGGGCCCAGTGACATGATATGCAGGGGGCCACGGATCACCTTAATCCATTCCTACTGGCTCTAATGGCGCAAACAGTTGGGAACTAAAGGTATAGAGGAGCAAAGTTCCCTGTTACTTTTCCTGAAAAAGAATAAATCACTGGGACTCTGGTCTCTATGTATTTCTGCAAGCACTGCTGCAAGATGTATATTGGTATGCAAAACAGCAGCTCACCAGAAGCAGTCCTGTCAAATGTATTGTAAGGTAGCTTTGGGGGGCAGGGGAGGGGTGCTTTTTTTTAAAAACAGATCTGCAGCAAGATCTGATGGAACTGCAGCAGCTCCAGAATTAAATCTGTCCTACTCACTGCATTCACCTTTACCAAAGATGCAAATGCAATGAGGGTAAGCATGTGTGTGTTGGGAAGAGGAGAATAAGGCAACACACCCTATTTTTCCAAGGCCCAGGATGGCCTAGGCCTGATGCAACAAGTCATCTCCACAGTGAAGGGAGGGTTAATGCAAAAAGCCCGCATGAGGAAGAGAGATCATGTGTAGAATATCATATGTGCCTGTAAAATGTCAGGACCTAAAACTGATGTGTACATGGCAGAATAGTTTGTGATTCTCAGAGACATGACTGGCCCTCATATTTGCTAATCTAGTCACGGAAAGCCTCAGATGTATGATGTCCACAGTGCAGCAACATATGGGGAAAAGAGATGAGCTCACTGCTGGGTTTATTACAAGAAAACCCATCAGCTCCCTCACAGCTAAAAAGGTTTAAATCCTCTCAGCTGACCCCATCTATCTGCTAGACAGAATCCCAGCTGCACCCAAATTAAGATACCCTAAACATCTATAAAGTCCTCTTTGTGTGATATCAAAAGCAGCAAATCTGTTCTGAGCCCACATTCTGCTGCACTGCATCTCATGTAGCCAAGAGCATAAGACTGACTTGAGCACACTGGGATGCAGGCAGATTTCTGACAGACTGAGCCACTGTCGGTTCCCTTCATACTTTATGCAGTCAGTGGGCAGGTGCAGAATCATTAGTCATCCCCTATCAATAGACTGAGCACAGAGATTCAGGGGTGGGAGTTGCAGGTTTTATGGGATTCAGTCATGTCAGGGAAGGGTTGCTGTTTAGAGACCTGTCATACAGGCACTGTCAGAGCCCTGTTTTAGCTTCCCTATCTCAGCTGCAGGGTACTGGCAGGAGTGAAAGAAGCTGCTGCTATGGCGTTGTTTGTCAAATGAGTTTTTTCAGATGCTACTAAAAAAAAAAGTCACAGGGAACCGCACAGAAAACCTCCAAAAGACTGTGGTCAGGGAGACACTGTCCTGCCATTAATTTAGTACTGACTTGCTTACAAGGACTTTTATTTTATAGCAAATTCGAAAAGACAGAACTCCCTTAGGGTACATCTGCACAGCAACATTATTTTGAAATAACTTAATCTGTGTCTACACTGCAGGCAGTTATTTCGAAATAATGTCAAAATACTGTCATGCTGGAGGACCTCTTACTCTGACTCCTGTGACCCTTTTTGTACGAGGAGTAAGGGAAGTCGGAGGAAGAGTGCTCTATCTCAGATTAAGTGCTGTGTAGATCTCCCAATTTCAAAATAAGCTATGGAATTGATGTAGCTCAATTTGTGTAGCTTATTTCAACACACCTTAGAGATCAGTTGTGTGGACGCACCTTAGAGATCAGTCTAGAACTTCGCAGCATTTTCCTCTGGCTACACAAAGATGCTTTTAACCCCAGAGCCCATTAAACTAAGAGTCATTTGAGTATTACTTTCGAGCACATTCCTCAAACTGGCAAAAATAATAAAACCATGTTGACGAGGGTTGGGTGCAGATGGCTCTGGTGCTAGAAGCGCTCTTACTGATTTGAATCCAATTCATACCGATGTTGTTAGTAGTTTCCACCGTGGGACTCTAGTTCGGGGCACATTTAATGAGTGTGGTGAAGCTAAGTCCAAATCCTAGTGGAGAGGTCGCTAGGTCAAAAAGCACTAGCACAACTAGCATCAACTGGCTAGTTGATCAACTGGCCTGTGTATTGACAGTTTCAGTGCAGCCAAGGACTGAAAAGGCCATGGGGAATGACCTCCCTTCTCACCACCAACGGTACATTGATAGCACAAATTAAGATATAACCCTACTGTGGGGAGGCACACCCAGGCTACCTTTAATGTAGCTAGCACAGGTAACAACAGTAGTGAAGACATGGGCTAGCCATCCCAGTACAAGCCCACCAGGAACCCTGGGTACTTACGTGGGTTGCTAGCTTGTCCCAGGTTCATATCACCATAGCTTTCCAATTGTTACAGGTGCTAGCTAGAGTAAAGCTCCTGTACTACAATCACACCTTCATTTGCTCAGGACACACACCCCAACAGTCGCAGTCAGGGCACCATATGGGAAACTTCCCTGCCACTGCCCAGGCTGTATCAGCTCTGTGGATAAAGAGAGGGCTTCACTCGCTGGGGCTGTTACTCTAGCACCTTTCACCAACACTGAATTTACGTCTGAGTTTAGACAAATAACACAGAGATGAACTGTAGTGGATTCCCTGGCTTGAACTTTTAATTAATATTATGTCTATTGATCTGCTTTGCACAGGCTGTATTGACCATCCTGTTTGATCCAGGAGACTGGAGCGCTGGATATCAGTGGGATTCCATACAGGGGTAAAGATGTGCTTGCATATACTGTTACAGGACTGGGACACATTTAGCAATGTCTTCAGAGGGCAGAAAAGTTAGCAAGGAAAAAAAAACACTGAAATTTGTTTGAAATCTACCCTTTACCAAGTTCTTAGATGTGAGGCAAGGCAAGATAATTATTACAGGCTATCTCCCCTGGGAGGCACTCCTTCCTGGTCTGTTTTCATGATTCTTGCCACTATTTCTAACATCCCAGTGGATTGTGGGGGTGAGTTAGTGTGGGAAGGTTTTTCTGTGAAAAGAAAAGTTTAAGATGTCTAGTATATATGCGTTTCTCTCATAATCTTAAAGCATTCTATATAAATATGATCTTAAGACTATATTTTATTACATTTAATTTTTGTTTTGACATTTTTCAGTAAAATGGGGGAGAGAAAAGCCCAGTGCAACATAAAAAATTAAACAACATCCATGGATTTGTATGAATGGGATGCAAAGCAGAGTTCTCTCTTTGGGAGCCAGGCACTGACCTATAAACCATAACCTTTTTCTGGAGAGATTAGACAGCAGGCCTGGAGAAATGCTTCTGAAGTCTGAATACATAGACTGAAATATAATTAATGCCTCACTCCAAGCAATGTGAATAATACATTTTTCAACTACTGCTGGGTAATAACTGAAAAATAATTTATTCAGACACAAAAATGTTACTTTGTGCATCAGTTAAGTTTGGTCTACATATAATACCTAATGCAAAACCACAAAAGCAAGGAAATGAATAAATAAGGCATGTAACAGGAAATAGCTTCTACTCTTCCACCCAGAGATACACATTTCACTAGGGCACTGCCTCCATATGCCACTGTCAATAATCGTACCTCCACCATGGTGCTGATGCTGGACTTCCAGCCCTCCCCTTACTCCAAATTTCCCCTTGCCCAGGTAGGCAGAATTAAGGTTATAGTAGTTCATTCTGCAATGAAAAGTGGCTGTGTTATTAGTGAAGTACAAATCTCTGGGCAAAAGATGCGCTGTTAGATAATTTAATTATTTGGTATGTGTAGACCACCCTTAACAGATACATATTGTGATATTTTGGAGTATGGATTTCCAAGTTTTGGAAAAATTGTGTTTTCTCCTGAAAGAAGGAGGATCTTTGACACAGCAACAGCTCCTTCTGTGAAGAACAAGTTTTTCATGGAAGGGGTGAGATGGCTCAGGAACTTCACTGTTGAAGGTAAAAGCTGATATTGTCTCAAAGATCTGTATCTCCAAACAGGCTGATTATCTTTCCTAAAGCTTGCAGTCCTCCTGTGAGAGAAGTCAGTATCATTCTCCCCATTTTATATATATAGATACTGAGAAGTGAAGTGACTTGACTAAGATAACCTAGAAAGTCAGTATTAAAGTCAGATTTAGCATCTAGGGCTATGTCGTAGACTGCAGAGTTTTATTAGAAAGAGATATGCAAATTGAAAACCGCAATTTGCATATCTTTCTCCGCCTTTTTTTTCAGAAGAGGCTTTTCCGAAATGTGGTCCATCTACCTGGGGCCAAATTTCAGAAAAACCTCCTCTTCCAGAACATCCCTTATTCCTCTCACCGAGAGGACTACAAGGATGCCGAAAGAATGCATCCACTTTTTCGGAAACTGTTCTGAAAAAGCGGATGCATTCCCTGGACGGGACAGCGCTTTTCCGGGATACCTCTGGTATCCCGGAAAAACTCTGCCATCTAGACATAGCCTAGGAGTCCTAAAAATCCTCTGCTCTAACTACTTTTCTATGATGTAAAGAATTTCTATAGCCAGGAGAATGACCACTTGTCCTCAGTTGCTTTGGAGTTAATTTAGAGGATTGCAACAGCTGGTAAGATATTGCAAGACAAATATAATTGGATGGTTGGGGAACACCCCTGCCAGCCAGATCAGCAGCAAGAGGTGTGCTAGGGAGGGGGAATGACAAAAGTCCACATGGAAAGACTCGCAAACTGGGACATTCTGCGTAAATGAGATTTACAATACCCCCAAAGTAAAACACAACAAATTCTATCATCCAAGAGAGGGAGATTTTGTAACCTTGAAAGGTTTTTTTTTTTTTTAAATGAGAGACTTTAAATCTAACTAATACTTGGTATCTCTGTCAAGAGAGCCATCCATAACTCACACATGGACTTTGGCTTTAGACAACTTTCCCGTTAGGTCATCCTAACTGTCCAAACCTTCCCAGTTACTGGGCTCCATCTCATACATTAGGCACCTGACTGCAGACACATTCTAGACATTTCCTTTCCCCTCTCTTTGGGCTTTAAAGTGCTATGGAACTGCTAACAAGGTGGTGGTGGTGGTGGGATGACGACATATTTCTCTCTCTCTCTTTGGTATCACTTACCTTCAATTCTGCCATTTTCCTCACTTTGCTGACTTGCTTGGGCAAATACAAAAATGAATGAGATGTTTGGCCAAAATGCTCTGTTGTGGGCTCCTGAAAACAAACTCTTCTTGCTGATTTTCTTGTTGGAGCGGCTGCAGGGAGAAAGCCAGGCTGATTGCAAACTAAATGCCCTGCAAGTGAGAAAGTCCAAAAGACTTTTCCAGCTATTTACTCAACTTAGCCTGGGTTTAATCAATCACAGAGCTTTCTTCTTTGAACCAATCCAGGGACTGATCTGAGGAAGATAAAAAGAGGAGAGGGGAAAGGACACTTTTCCACCAGTTTTCCTTTCTCTTAATAGCTGTTTAATAGCTATTCTTTCTCTCTCTTTAAGTATAAGGAAAGAAAAGTGTACACTTTAAAATCAATAAGGCATTTCAGGAACAAGAAAAAGACCTTTCTGCAATGGATTCATAAGAATCTTTTATTAACAATAATTCTAGCAATTTGCATCCACAGATTTCACAACATGTGGGATTTGAAAGGAATCACTTCCCCATCTCAGGTGTGGAAGGTGGCAGTTGTTAATCAGTGCGCAGCAATGCCACACTGCAGGGTAGAGACAGAAGTGAAGAAGGATTCCATACTGTACTCATTAGTGTTGGCCAGAACTTTCTGCATTTTGAAATGTTGACATTTTTTGGTAAACTTTTCAACAGAATGTTCATGAAACATGTTTCCTGCTTTTCCGCTATAGAAGCTGGCCAAAATTATCTCAATGTTGATTTTTATTTTTTTTAACAGGAGAGCGTTTAAAAAAATTTAACGTTATTTTATTTTTTGACCAGTTCTAGCATGGAGTGCTAGAGGAGGAATTCTGTGAGGCAGAATGTATTTGCGCTAGTTGGAATTTGGGCAGGGACTAGGGTTGCCTGCTTTCCCGACCTCTATAAACCAGAACTCTCTGGTCTGGCAATATTTGTGGTCCAGCAAGACCACAGGTGTTCCAGGATCAGAGTCCTGGAGTGCTGCAGGGGGTGGGGGGCCCGGAAGCCCAGCGCAATGAAGGGATATGTGGAGGAGGGGCAGGAGCCTGGTGTGTAGCCCAGCTGGGCTGCCCAGGAGCCAGGAAGCTGCTGGGAGGAGGAGGAAGAACCGGGAAGCCAAGCATGAGGCTCAGCTGGGCTGTGGGAGGTGGAGCCACATGGTTCAGATAAACTGGGTGGGGAAAAAAGGGACAGGTTGCCAGGTGCATAACCCAACTGGGATATCTGGGGGAGCAGGGCAGAGGGTGGGGCCAGCAGCAGAGGGGCCAGAAATAACCTCCCCTGCTCTGGCAAAATCCCTCATCTGGAACCAGTCAGATCCCAAGGGTGCTGTACTAGGGAGGTCCAACCTGAAGTGGTTAAGACCTTGAATGAAATCCTAACACAACGAAGATGATGGGAGTTTTCCACTGACTTATATAGAGGTAAAATTTCACCCCTTAGCTTCAATTTTATCTGAAAGTCAGCACCTTTTCACACATGCCTTGCTAGGGAGATAATCTAGAATCACCATTCTTGACTGGTATCAGAGGGGCAGCCATGTTAATCTGAATCTACATAAACAACGAGAAGTCCTGTGGCACCTTATAGACTGACAGATTTAGTGGAGCATAAACTTTCGTGGGCAAAGACCCACTTCGTCAGATGTATCTGACAAAGTGGGTCTTTGACCACGAAAGCTTATGCTCTAATAAATCTGTTAGTCTATAAGGTGCCACAGGCCTTTTTGTTGTTTATGCTTATTCTTGACTGTAAGTTCTTGAAAGCAGGGACTGTCTATACTTTTCTGCACTGTACAGACGAAGAACATCATCAGCAGTGAAGAATAATATTAGCTCATTGTTTCCATATTGATCCAGAATTCTATATAAATGATAGAATTATCAAGAGAGCAGTGAAGAAAAGGCAGATGCATTCTATAAATATTTCTGTTTTGTATTGGGAAAGAACAGATGAGGTAGTCATATCACAAAATTACACTTTTTCCATTCTATTAGCTTCTTAGGAGAATTCTAAACAGCAGGTACCACAATTAGATGTTTTAATCAGTAGTTCCAGACTCCTTGCACCCAAGAGTTTCAGAAGAAGTCTGAGAATCTCTCAGGATTGTAAATGTTGATTTTCAATAAGTCTTGGAACATTCAGGAAATTCCAGAAGACTGGAAGAAGCTAATGTTGTGCCAATATTTAAAACAAGTAAATGGGATGACCCAGGTAATTAAAGGACTGATATCACATCAGTCCCAAGCAAAATAAGAGTGGCTAATACAACTGATCTCATTAGTAAATAATTAAAGGAGGGTAAATACTTAATGCAAATCAATTTGGGATTATGGAAAATGGATCCTTTCAAACTAACTTTGTATTTTCTTTATGAGACTATAAGTTTGGTTAACAAAGGTAATTATGTTAATGTAATTACTTCTGTAAGGTATTTGACTTGGGGATGCATGATATTTTGATTAAAAAACTAGAATGCTAAAAAACAAATGTGATACACTAAATGGGTTAAAAGTTTGTTAACTGATAGATCTCAAAAAGTAATTGTAAACAGTGATTCATCATTGAGCAGGTGAATTTCTAATAGGATACCAGAGAGATTGGCTCTTGGTCTTATGTCATTAACATTTTGATTGATGATCTGGAAGAAAATATAAACCCATCCCTGATCAAATTTGCAGATGACATCAGAGTTAAGGGAGTGGTAAATAATGAAGAGCATAAGTCACTGATACAGAACAATCAGGACCACTTGGTATATAGGATGCAAGCAAGCAATATGCATTTAATAATCCTGGGGGAATTCTGTACCACTGTGCATACTCAGAATTTATGTCCCTGGCAGAATTATTGGATTTCCTGCAGAAAAATGAAATAAGAGTAGTCATGAGACCTTCTCCAGCAGTATGTTTTGGGTGCCCAGGAAAGCTGGTGTAACTGCCACGGGGCCGATTTGAGCCTGGGACTTCTGAAGTAGAATACAGTATAGGAACCTGTACCCTCTGAGCTAAAAGCCAGCTGGCTCCTAGACCATGCTGTAGAGGTCCCTAGATCTTAACTGTTGCTGTGGTCTAGGTGCCACTTGCATTGCTCAGTAACCACACTACATGTGTGGGTTACACTGGCAGAGAGGTAAATCACTGGGGTATGAGAATAAACTAGGGAAGACTCAGTTGGTGGCTTCTATCTTGCGCCAGGTTCAGTTCTAGGCCCAGGTGGGCTGGGGAACACAGAATTTCCTCGTCCCCTGCACAGCATCCAAGGCTAACTCAGAACTACCCCCAGCTTTCTCCCCAAGCTGTAGGAAGCTCTGCAAACTCTCCTCCCTCCATACCCGCTTCCTGCACCCATCACACCTCAGCTGCAGGAGTAAGGATCCCTTTACAGGGAATTGCTTCCCCATCTGTCCGACCCCCTGCTGAGCATCACCCCCATATATAGTCAGACCCCCCCCAAAAGAGCCCCATTGCCCAGCCTCTCCCCTGCTGAGCCCCAACCACCTTCACCCCTCCAAAAAAGTTCCATTACCATTGCACTCAAAACCCCACAACATATCCCTATGCATCCAGATCCACCCCCCGCATCCACACTGCACCCAGGGCTGGACGGAGGCATGGGCAAGCCGGACAGCTGCCCAGGGTGCCAACCGATATGGGGCGCCTGATGGCAGCTGTAAGGGGCGTGTGGCGTCCCTTACAGCTGCCATCAGGAGCTGTGCGCCTGGCTCCCGCAGCGCCGGCCCGCCCGCATCCCCGCGGCACCAGCCAGCAACGCCCTTCCCCCCACAGCCACGGGGCCCTACCCAGCCTGCAGCACGTGCCAGCAGCAACAGCCGGGCAGGACTGGGCCGTGCTTGCGCTGTGCACTCTAGGGGTGGGCCCCAGGCTACGCACCAGTGGCCGTAGCTGGGCCGCGCATGAGCCATGTGCCCCGGGGGTGGGCCTCACCATACAGAACCCTCTCAACCTACACCTGGATCCTCTCACAATAAATCCCTTCATACTTGGACCCTACCATACTTGGAGTCTGGTTACCCACACTTGGTGTACCTGGTGTAGGAGGGGCAGGACCCTCAAGCATTTCTGGAGCAGACCCAGTCCTTGCACTGTGTTAGGGTTGGATGCAGCCTCAACACAAGTCTGTGTCCCAGGAGGGCTGGTGGGGGGAGCTTCACAGTATCTCTCACATCTATGGAGGTGGTGGCTTGTGCTGCCCACTACAATGCTGGAGCCTCCACATTTGACAAATAAAATTTGCAGAATTTTTAATTTTTGAAACAAAATTAAATTCAGGTAAATATAGCCATCTAGGAACAAAGAATATAGCCACCCAGACAGGGTGGGTTGGCTGCTGGCTGGTAAGTCTCCTGGCCACAACCTGCTTCTGCCACCCCAGCCCTTTCCTGCCCCAACCCTCTGCCCCCACACTCAACATACCCAAACCGTCTCTTGTACCCATACCTCCTCCCAGATCTGGCACCCCAATTTCCTGCCCCAGATCACAATCCCCTTCTACCCTAGGTCATATCCCAAACCCCAGCACTCCAAGTCCCCTGCCCAAGGTCACAACCACCTCTTTCACCCAAACTCCCTCCCAGACTCCAGTCTCCATCCTGCACCCCAGTCCCTTCCCCAAAACTCCCTTCTGCATCCAACCTCCATCCCAGACCCTGCATCTCCTCCATTCATATCATGGAAGAGTGCGGCCCTTGACCACTTACCAAAATCTTGGAGTGCCCCCCCATCAAAAGTTATTGCCCACTCCTGGTCTAGGAGGTTCAAAAAGGCCATTAGGCCAGTGACTGCCACTAAGACTGCCACTGTCTGGGATGGCAGTGGGCTGGCATGCCTGGAGTGGTGACCTGATTGGGACCAGTGTGGAGAGTAGGACTACTGGGACCGGGTGGACTGATGTGAGGAAACCCTCGACACCATGGGGCGGTGCCGCAGGTGACAATGGAGCCCGGTGCTGGCTATTATGCGCCATCGCCACAGGTTTCCCACAGTGCGGTGACAGTGGTAGCATGCTGCTATGCACTGGTGCTGGACCAGCCTGAAGATGAGGTACAGTCAGTACTGGATGGGCCCTATTCTGAGCTGGACTAGACACCTGCACTGGCAGGGCCGGAACCACCACAGAGGCCATTGCCAGGCCTGAGCCCCGAGTC